CGGGTGTAACGTGTAGTACAGCCCGGGTGTAACGTGTAGTACAGCCCGGGTGTAACGTGTAGTACAGCCCAGGTGTAACGTGTAGTACAGCCCGGGTGTAACGTGTAGTCCAGTCCGGGTGTAACGTGTAGTACAGCCCGGGTGTAACGTGTAGTCCAGCCCAGGTGTAACGTGTAGTCCAGCCCAGGTGTAACGTGTAGTCCAGCCCAGGTGTAACGTGTAGTCCAGCCCAGGTGTAACGTGTAGTCCAGCCCAGGTGTAACGTGTAGTCCAGTCCGGGTGTAACGTGTAGTCCAGCCCGGGTGTAACGTGTAGTCCAGCCCAGGTGTAACGTGTAGTCCAGCCCAGTGTAGTACAGCCCAGGTGTAACGTCCAGTCCCCCAGGTGTAACGTGTAGTCCAGCCCGGGTGTAACGTGTAGTCCAGCCCGGGTGTAACGTGTAGTCCAGCCCAGGTGTAACGTGTAGTCCAGCCCGGGTGTAACGTGTAGTCCAGCCCGGGTGTAACGTGTAGTAGTCCAGCCAGCCCAGGTGTAACGTAAGCCCGTGTAACGTGTAGTCCAGCCCGGGTGTAACGCGTAGTACAGTGTAAGATGTAGTACAGCCAGGGTGTAAGATGTAGTCCAGCCCGGGTGTGTAGTCCAGCCCGGGTAACGTGTAGTCCAGCCCGGGTCGTGTAGGAGCCCGGGTGTAAAAAGAAGCCAGCCCGGGTGTAACTGTAGTCCAGCTGAACGTGTCTCAAGCCCGGGTGTTTGTGTAGTCCGTCTCGAGTGCTGGAGTCCAGCCCGGTTTGTAGTCCAGCCCAGGTGAAGCGTGGGATTTTTTTAGCCCGGGTTTCATGACGGAAGCAGCCCGGCCTAACTGGCTGAGCTGAGTGGTCTCAAGCTTTGGTATCCGTCTCGAGTGCTGGAGGTCCCGGGTTCAAGTCCTGGTGAAGCTGGAATTTTTTTCTCTGGGTAGTAAGACCGGACGCCCATTTGTATGCTTGCGCACGTAAAAAAAAAATCCCTGGCAGTTGGAAATAAAAAAAAGTAGCCTAAAGGCGCTGCCCGGGCAAAGTTTGGAGTTAAAAATTTACCCAAAGTATTTCAAGATCCTCGCCAGTGCAACGTAGTTTGTGCACCGTGCTGAGATTCTTCAGACTCAAGGCTTGAGCTAGAAGTAGAACGGAGCACTTATGGGTTAAACCCGTGTGCCACAATGTTGATCCGTCGACTAAACACAGAGGCGCAAATCCCACACTTAAAATGTTTGCGCAGATTTAGTGCCTGATCGTCGTCAGTCATATCATGGCACGACGCCTATACCGCTGTCGTTGACAGCTCTTCACCTCATCATCGGGACCCTTCACTGCTCCAAACAAGCTTCGCGTGTCTTTGAGGCTAGCTAGTGGTGACAAAAAGGGCGGAAGAAACAATCTGCAGAAACACGTGTGGACAGAATCGGCTTGTCTCAGGTGGTGGTTGATTTCTCTACAGAGTGTCGGTTGATTGTTGAATGGCTCTCTGAGGTAGTGGTTGATTTCTCTCCAGAGTGTTGGTTGTTGGTTGATTATCAGGGCCGGGTCCTGCCTTGTTGTGTGCGGTCGTAAATTGTCGTAGTAGTTAGTTGCGATACAAGTCATGTAGGAATATTTGTGAGTGGAAGAGGTAGTTACTTGGCTATAGTAGTTTGTGACTCCTCTGGTTACTTGGCGATAGTAGTTTGACTCCTCAGGTTACTTGGTGATTGTAGTTTGTGACTCCTCTGGTTACTTGGCGATAGTAGTTTGTGACTCCTCTGGTTACTTGGCGATAGTAGTTTGTGACTCCTCTGGCTACTTGGCGATAGTAGTTTGTGACTCCTCTGGTTACTTGGCGATAGTGATGGTAGTAGTTTGTGATAGTTAGTTAGTGGTAGTTTGTGATAGTTAGTGGTAGTGGTAGTTTGCGATGGTCGTAGTTGGTTAGTGATAGTAGTAATTTGTGATGGTGGTAATTACTTACTGTTAGTACTTTGTAGCTCTCTTAGTTACCTAATATTAGTTTGTGGTACTGGTAGTTTGTGATTTGAATAGTTACAGTATAATAGCAGTAGAGACTTCAACAGTTACTTAGTGATAGTAGTAGTTTGTGATGCTGTTGTAGTATTCATCATTTAGTTAGCAATTTAGTGAGAGGAGAAGTTAGTGACAGTAGGAATCAGTGATCTTGTTTGCCAATTAGTGATAATAGTAATAATGGTTGTAGAAGTAAAAGTCCATTTGTAAAGCATTGATGTTTTTATTGCCTATCTTCCTTCCTTCCTTCCACGTTTTCCCCCAATGAATGAAATTTGTTGACATTACTAGCTTATTATGACCTTTAAATATCTTAACATCATAAACAAGCTACTCGGTTCTTTCTCTCCACCTTTTAACTCTCTCAGCCCAGCAACCAACATTGCTCCTATTGACTGGATAATTTCCTTACATAACACAGACATGTTTATTAATGGTCACACAAGTTCTGTAGCAATTTACTGTTTGTAATGCACACTATCCTGTCCCTCTATTTTAACTGATGTGTGCACTGATTAAAGAGGGATTGAAACAGCCGATAATGTCACACATCAACTAAACCCAATATTGAAACATCTAGTTATCCCAGTAGAGACAAAGCCACAAATTATAAGTACAGTCTTCATACCAACCTTGTGCTATAAGTGTCAGACTTGGACATTGACTAAAGAACACGAAAGAACATTGAGCACCTACAAAATAAGATGTTTGAGAAAGGATGTGAACACAGCTAGACGAGATCATGTGAGAAATGAGAAAATAACCAGAATAATTGGAACAACTCCTATAATTAAATTCATTGAAATACAAAGACTGATATGGTTTGTTCATTTAATTGAGAATGAATCAAATGATTGCAACACTAAGAGCGTACAGCATGAAGAAAGAAGAAACACAGAGAGGCAGGAGATGACCAAGAGGAAGGATTGAAGGAGTCACTGATGCCTTGAGACCATTACAGCGTAAACAGGCAGCCAAGCATGGCCTAGCTTGGATACCCACCATCTGTTAACCAACCTGCAGTGCCTAGTGGCACAATGCCGAATATGGACGAAAGAAGAAAAGTGCCCTGTTATTTTTGTTATGCCGAGTTGCCATTTCATTTTTCCAGTACTGACCAAACTGCCACTTCATACATCCAGTACTGACCAAACTGTCACTTCATACATCCAGTACTGACCACACTGTCACTTCATACATCCAGTACTGGCCACACTGTCATTTCATACATCCAGTACTGACCAAACTGTTACTTCATACATCCAGTACTGACCAAACTGTCACTTCATACATCCAGTACTGACCACACTGTCATTTCATACATCCAGTACTGACCAAACTGTCACTTCATACATCCAGTACTGACCACACTGTCATTTCATACATCCAGTACTGACCACACTGTCATTTCATACATCCAGTACTGACCAAACTGTTACTTCATACATCCAGTACTGACCAAACTGTCATTTCATACATCCAGTACTGACCAAACTGTCACTTCATACATCCAGTACTGACCACACTGTCATTTCATACATCCAGGACTGACCAAACTCACTTCATACATCAAGTACTGACCAAACTGTCACTTCATACATCCAGTACTGACCAAACTGTCACTTCATACATCCAGTACTGACCAAACTGTCACTTTATACATTCAGTACTGACCAAACTGTCACTTCATACATACATCCAGTACTGACCAAACTGTCACTTTATACATTCAGTACTGACCAAACTGTCACTTCATACATACATCCAGTACTGACCAAACTGTCACTTTATACATTCAGTACTGACCAAACTGTCACTTCATACATACATTCAGTACTGACCAAACTGTCACTTCATACATACATCCAGTACTGACCAAACTGTCACTTCACTTAAACGTGCAAAAAGATATTACAAATCCATCGCTCAAGGAGTGCAAGGCAAATACAGAAAACTGTGACACTGGTCTACAACCTGGTAGTAGCAGTGTCATGAAAAAGGAAGAGAAGAAGAAGAAGATGTGCTGAGATTTTCAAATGTAATTGCACAATTTTATGTTTTTATTTCTGTCTTAATTGTTACTAGTAAAACAAAAAAATGATCTTAGTTTTTAAATGCCTTTTTTTTTTTAGTTTTTAGTTTTTTTTTTTTTTTTTTACATTTTCTTCTTTACCTTTTTTACTCCTAGGTTGTTGTGACGATCTTCCAGTAATAGTGAAAAAAAATCCAAGCAAGGTCTCTGCCATCTCAAGTGATTAATCCCCCCAAGAGCCAGTCACAGCTGTCCACACACATTGCTACCAGAGAGACTGACTACCACCAGCAGTAAACCACATACAGGCAGAGCTGCATGACTGCTTGCAGATCCCTACAACTACAGCAGATGGTTTTTAAGTGTACTTGGTGAATTAACACAAAAATTCATAATGTGGGAATATTGATCTTCTAAGGCAGAAGGAGAGAATATACCGCTGCCCCAGGGCTTTGTGCTTATATGATCAATTTACCTATACAGTTTTCTACATTGCTAACAGAACCTCCATGAAAATCTGCTTTGTTGTGTTTCGCTGCGTCAATCATTCTTATGACAACAACATTTTCACAAACAACCGCAGCCTTGCCGCATTGATTTTAATGAATCACTGATAAATACTCGCTGTGATTACGTGTTTAACCACTGTGTGATTCTTGATTTGGATAATATGTGATTGTTCTCTTCACTGGATACAATTTTGTGGATGTATTTTTCCATAACGGATATATAAATATATATATACATATTTTCAGAAAGATTTTTGGGGGTGAAAGATAATTGTGACTTTGTACGGGGAGACTGGAATGCAGATTGAGCTTCTCGGGTGCTCACGTAATTATGCATGATTTTATTAGACACTGTGGTTCTAGCCAGCGCGAAGTGTACGTGGGTACATTCTCGTTGTTTTTGTTGCTGACACAGTTCTGGAGATGAAGGAGCGGGTGGATTCCACCAAGGTTCTGCGGGAGCCTAACGTCAACGGCCCTGCCCCGGATGCTGCTGCCGTCGCTGGTGGGGTTACCAAGTTAGATTGTGTGGATATTAAAGCGGAGGTCAAGGAAGAGGATGGTCGGAAATCTGGCGACTCTCGGCCACCCTCAAGAAAAATACCCAATGGGGAGTCAGGTATTTCATGTGTATTCACTGTCCTCTTTTGCTTTAATGAAATTCCCCCCGTGTGGGTCCTGGGACCCCGTTGTGGGGGAAACAAAAATAGGCTCACTACCTCCTCAACAAGCATGTCGAAGTTATGGCCTGGAGAGACTGAGGCACCTAGGTGTAACCAGAGGGTCTGGCCGGCTCACTACACTCAGAGGAAAGGCAAGATTTACATATAACCAGATTGTGACGGCTTGGAACTCTGTGCTAGCTGCTGAAGATAAGGACGGAGCACATATGGGAATGGCCAGAGTTCTGTGATGTCAATTCTTGGCTCAACTTAACCCGAGCATGTCGTAGGAGTCGACCAATTGGGGCTTCCTTCGAAGTCAGAACGCATCTGCCTGAGTGGCAAGGAACAGCCAGATGCACACAAATAAGCCAGTAAAACAGATGTACACACAAAACTCAGGCCTTGGCACAAAGCCAAAGTCTAAATGGAGGAACAAGGAAGGACCTTCCACTTACAGCCAATGACCAAAGAAAAAAGAGCGTTTATGAATAGTATTTTAGGAACAATGGCAGCGTAGTTGTTGGGCACTCGCCTGGTGACCCAAAGTGTTTGTGTTTGGATCCACATTTCAAAATTGACTTGCTGCCAGGTCGACCCAGCTTGAAATGTCCTTGGAAGTAAAGGCATGATGACAACCACATGACCCATCACGTCCTGATTGGTCTATTTAAAATATATATATATATATATATATATATTATGTGCCTATATATATATAACAAATATATTTTCACACCTATATATATATATATATATATGAAGTTTAGTCCTGGGAAGTAAAGGCGGTTAGTGTGTGATGCTGACCACACTACTCACCAGGTGCCTATTGGTCTATAGAATATAGTCTAACCCTATATGCCCGCAATGCCAAAAGGCATGGAAATGGGCCCAGTATTTTACTATATGTTATAAATATATATATATATATAATGTAACATTTGTTGATGAGCTCTGTCAAGAGCACCACTGGTAGATGTTCCACTGATGTTCATTTCTGTAAAGCTGTTCTTAATGCCATCACTCTGCATTTTTTCCGTGGTCTACCACTTGCTCTATACCTGCTGTAACGTTTTAGTGTGGCAGATAGTACCAGGGCATTCTTGTTAGATGTCAAAACCACTTCATTTGTTGTTCTTTGATGCCCTGTAAGAGGCACATAATACTAAACTCATATATATATATATATATATATGGGATGGCATATATAAAGTCGGAGTGCATCTGCCTGAGAGGCAAAGAACCAACAGTCTGCATACAAATGAGTCAGTTCTGTAAAACAGATGCCCATGCAACACTCAGGTTCTGGAGCAGGACTACAGTCCAGAAGTGGACGATCAACCATAAATTTTTGTCGGAGTTTACAGCATTTGAATGTAAAGAAGAAGATTATATTAACGTTCAGCTTTTCAGGTCTGCCTTTAGGAGGACAGCCTCGTTTCTTTAGCTATCAATTCATAATATTTGTTACATTCTTCTTAAACACCACATCTCCACCGCAAGAAAATGTTTTTTGACTCATCCGCTTTTTCCCCTGTCTCACTTGCATATCTTCTTGTTAGCATTCCCTGGCTGTTAACTCCAGCAGAAAATCCTGGTTGTTCGTCCACTTCTGGACTTTGAAAAAGATTCTGTATAGCACTTTTTTTCTCACTGCAGTTGACTGGTCTTCGTTGACCATGTTTCTCCACATCCCGATCTTCGACAACCTGTCAATACATTTGCCATTTTTACTCATTGCCATTTTTACTTGTTTTACTGACCCCGCGCGCGCACACACACACACACACAATTCTTAATAGACCTTTGAACATTTCCAGAAATGTTCTTTAAAAAAAAATCAAAAAATATATATTTTTTTACACATTCAAAATATATAACTACATAAAGAAAAGAGACAAACACTGTTCTTTGGCCACATAATGAAAAGAGAGAGATTGGAGATCAAGTCCACTAACATAAAGCCCTAATTTCTCAACAATCCACTGGCCAGGATTTCTTTGCAGTCTACTGACAAAAGACCATGCTTTTCTAGCAGTCCACTGGCATAAGGCTCTCTCATAGTAGCAGTCAAATGGCTCAAAATCCTTAGTGCAGTAGCAACAAAAGACCATTCCTAAAATCCACTGTTTCCTAACATAGTCGCAGTCTACTAACAAAAGACCATGTTTTCTAGCACACCATGTTAGTTTCAACTTTCCAAGCAGCCTCTCTCATAGTCATACAAAAGTCAGGTTTTCTAGCAGTCCACTGGCATTCCTTGTCATAAAGCAGTAAATGGCTCAAAATCCATTCTGTCAGCATAAAAATCAGGTTTTCTACCATTTCATGTCATAAATTAGGTTTTCTAACATTCCTTGTCATAAATTAGGTTTTCTAACATTCCTTGTCATAAATCAGGTTTTCTACCATTCCTTGTCATAAATCAGGTTTTCTACCATTTCCTTGTCATAAATTAGGTTTTCTAACATTCCTTGTCATAAATTAGGGTTTCTACCATTGCATGCTATAAGTCAGGTTTTCTACCATTCCATGTCATAAATTAGGTTTTCTACCACCCCATGTCATAAATCAATTTTCCTAGCAAACCATTGACAAATCAAGTTTCCTAGTAGCCCATGCCATTAATGGAGTTTCCTATCAAGCCAATGACATAGATCAAGTTTCCTGGCAGCCCATTGCCATAAAGACTAGTCTTCTACCAGCCCCAAGCCATAAAACCATGCCTCAAACATCTTTTCTGGCAATAATATCTTCCTCTTTTGTCCTACTGCTTATGCTGCAAAGCAGTGAAGAGTTATACATGGTTTCCTGTCTTTTGAGTTGAGTCAAGAATTGACATCACAGCACTCCGGGCATTCCTCTGCATGCTCCGTCCTCATCTTTAGCAGCCAGCGTAGAGTTCCAATACTGATGGTACCGGTCACAATCTGGTCTTGCCTTTCCTCTAAGTGTAGTGATCCGGTCAGACCCTCTTGTTACACTCAGGTGCTTCATTCTTCCCAGGCCATAATAATCTTGTTTCTCTATTGATTCTGCTGCTTATTCCCAAAGGACCTTGACCACATCTGCCTTGTCAAGTATCAATTCACCACCCAGGGGTGCAGATCCAGCCAATCTGTCGACCTGTTCATTACCCACCACGCCGGCATTGCCTGGAGACAAGATCCAAAGTATGCTCACTACCCGTGACTTTTCCAGTGAAGCCTGCCACTCTGATCGAAGTATCCCTGTCTTCACCTTTCTCAGCATACTTTCAGAGTCTGTTACGATTACGACATGTGTATGCATCTTTTTCTCTAGCCACCGGAGAGCTGCAGTTACCGCCCCCACCTCCATTCTCATGTTAGTTTTCTTTCTTTTGTTAGTTGCATAGCTTGTGTTTATTTCATATTTCATTTTTGTAGTGTCTTTTTTACTCTCGCCATCCATCTTTTTCTTGGTCGTCTCTTGCCTTGTAGCCTGCTGTCCCGTGTAGTAGGCTCTAGCTGCTGGCTGATTTTGTTCCATTCTAACCAGATGACCAAACCATTCAATTCTTTGATGTTCTATATTATTACTTACTTACTTAGTCGCTTACTTAGTCGCTCCTCTTCTACCTTGGGGTGTAGAGGTTTGCCAGAGAGATCGCCAGACGTCTCTATCAGCAGTTTTCTTTCTGGCTTTGTTCCATTCCAGTCCTCTGTCAGTTAGGGACTGTCGAATGTTGTCTTCCCAGCGCACCCTGGGTCGTCCTGGAGGTCTGGTTCCCTGGTTCTTAGCCTCCCATGCCTGCCGTGGTGGACGATTTTCTCCTATTCTGCATACTTGTCCAAACCATTGTAACTGACTGATCCACTCGGGTTTGTAAGGACTGGGTATCAAGATCTTGACGTATTGTTTGATTGTGGACTTTGTCCCTTCTTGTCACTTGGACCATATTATTATTATATTATTGTTAATATTGCTCTTCAGATAACAAAATTGAAAATGGAAAGCCAGGTTCGGTTGGAGCGGAGAGTCAGAAGTTGTCCCCACAGTCGACTACCCCTCAGCACCCGTCTTCAGGAGGAACAACTCCAGCTACCATCATGTCCCAGCATGGCATGATGACTTCCCTGGAGCCGCCCTTCATGCAACAGCAGAACAAGGTCTTTGTGTTTTCCACCAGGCTGGCCAATGAAGCCGCCGAGAGTGTCAGGCATGGCCATTGCAAGAGCATAATACAATACCACATGGATCATCCGAATACCAAAGCCTTCCTGCAGGTGAGTTGGTTTTTGGTGGCTTCTTTTCTTAGACATCACAGAGCATGCTTCGGAAAATTTAAACTGGCGCCCTGTGTGCAGCTGGCCAACATCACTTGATAAGACTCAGATCAGGGCCACATCAGGGATTTTCTGTCCAGGGTATTCAGTGTTTGTGAGTTAATGAGCACACTGATAGATTAACTGCTGCCACTCCTCTGAGTGGTGAGCTGCTTTGTGATAAAGCAGGCTTGGTGAAAGCTCTCTGGGATCAAACGCACGGTGCAGTAGAACAAATAGAGAGAATCCATACATTGCAAGGCTAACTCAACAGGGAGTGAGTGGAGGTTTTAGGAGCTATTAACACTGAGGGGGAAACATAGGCAGACCTTTAATGAAGATGCAGCTGGTACTATAAGCACGTCGACTACTTACCTGGCTACTGAAGAAGGTGACGGAGCATGTGTGGGAATGTCCCGGGTGCAGTGATGTCTGTTCTTGATTGATTGATTCATTCTCTTTGGCAATTTCTGGTGTCTGACAGTATTTGTGGGACGGCATAAGCCACTACTGCTCTGGCAAATTTTCCAGATTAAAAAAAAACTTTCTACCTGCAGAAAACTAGCCTCATAGTTTTTCGGATCATCGTTATCAAGTGCCTTGTCAACTGGCATGGGTGATCATGCCCATTAGCAAAATTTGCGATCACAGCATGTGTCAGTTTGTGTGCTGATACCCGTTCATGCCATGACAAAAGGCTTTCAAGAATCATCTCACATTGTCTTCCGTCTTTCTCTTTTTTTCCAAAGATCTTTCCATTAGAAAGAAGAATTGCAGAATGTTTCAGTTTTCTTCATCTCACAGTAGGACCAAACATCTATGGCTGTCTCATTCTGATGTTTGTGATAAGTTGTCTCTAAGCTCTCACTTCTTTCAAAACATCAAGGTTGCTGTGTTTGGCAGTCCAAACAGTTCTACAGATTTTTTTTTTTTGTTAAACTTCATTTCTGAGGCTTCAAGCAATTCTTCTTCTTCTTCTTTGCATTCACTGGCTGAAACTCCGGCTGAAATTTCTGGTTGTTCATCCCCCTCTGGACTTTAGACTTGTTCTGAAACCTGAATGTTAAAATGCACATCCGTTTTACAGATCTGACTTATTTTTTGCAGACTGTTAGTTTCTAACCTCTCAGGCAGATGCACTCCGGCTTCGTATAAAGCCTTTAATTAGTCGACTCTTATGACATGCTTGTTGGGGAAAGCAGTGGTTCTGTTCTTGTTTTCCCCACAATGGGCCCCAGAACCCACATGGAGACCTCAAGAAATTGTTTGCTGTATTTGGGATTTATGTAGCACTTTAAATTCTTTGATAGCAAATATTACAAAAGACTATATTTCAAGAGTGATATTTGAATGGCCAGCCCAGTTCATTCAATCAGTCAGTTGCTGTCTCCACAATAAAGCTTGGCTGCAGTGGATTGCTACCACACTTTATCTCTTGTCTTGGTTGTATTCTTTCTCAGACTACTGTTTGTCTCCTAATGTTGTCCTCTTACTTGTATCATTGACTACCTCTTGCTGTCTTGTCCTCTATCTTTCTCTCCAGTATGGTTTTTATAAGCCTATTGTGTCTTTTAATGTGGCCAGAATATTTCATTTGTCTCCTTTTTTTTTTTAAGTAGTTCGTTTAATGGTTTGTTGTATTGCCCTAATGAGGGACTTTTTCCGTTTGTTTCAGAAGAACCCACTGAAAGCTAGCAGCTTCCGGCACGGTATGCTGCCTGCTGTCATGAGCAGCATGAAGGCTGGTCAGCAGGCTCCAGGGATGATCAGGATGCCTGGCCCAGGCCCGTCACCACCCGGCTGGGGACCCCAGCATCCCTCAGCCATGGAAGGCATGATGGGGCCTGAGGGGATGATGCTGAACGGGCCCTATCACCCGGGAGGTCCTGGGCCCCGGATGATGGGAAGCTGGCCGGGGCAAGGATGCAGCGGCCTCCACCCCCATCCTCACGGGCCTATGGGTCCTGGCGGATACCCCCTTGGCAGCATGATGGATATGGAGAGTGAGATGATGATGATGGGCGGTCCCCATAACTCGAATATATCCTCCAGCCAGATCCCAGATGAGAACCTGACATTGGAGCAGAGGCAGCACCGTTCCAGGGGGTTAGCTCAGTTGACTAAAATCCACAAGATGCTAATGGGTGGTAGTAACCCAGGGGACGGCCAGCAACCACCCCATGGACATGAGCCGGGTATGTACCATGGAGGTCCAGGGGGGATGACGTCCCACCAGCAGCAAGCAATGATGTCCCAGCATGCCATGATGACCCAGGCGGGCATGATGCCACCACACGGCATGATGTCCCCCCAGCACCAGCACATGATGGCCCAACAGATGTCTTCTTATGGGCCTCGAGGCCCCCCAGGAATGGTGCCTCCGGGAATGAATGGCAAAGAACAGGTAATAGAATAAGAACATTCCTTACGTTTTCTAAGTTACATCATCTTTTTGATTTTTTAATGTTTTATTTTCTTCTTCCTGGGCATTCTGAGCCCTTGAGATTCATTGCTGCAGATATCACCTGCCTCCATTCATCTTTTTTGGTAGGCTTTTCTCTTTCCAGTTGATGACACCGAGTGTTTGTAGGCCTGTCTGGATGTTATCTCTCCTTTATCTTTTTTTGGATGTGGTCTGTGACCTTTTCCGCTCCCTTGTGTTCACAGTTTTATATTGGCAAAATTTGAAGCAGATAAGCAAGTGGTAGAAAGCTATACAAGTGGGATAGATGGATATAGCGATAATCTGTAAGTCAGTACCTAGATCAACAGGCAGTTTTAGAGCCAGTCTCCCTCGCCATCTGATTTAAGGTTAAAGGTTAGAGGATCAACCATGTTACACCCTGCTCTATTAGAAAGTATTGATGTTGCCTGAGTTAGCAGCTAAGGTTTTTGATGGAATGAGGTTCACAGTCTGACACTAGTCCTTCTGTACTTGAATGCTGTGTGCACATTCGTTTTAGAGATCTGGCTTAGCTGTATGCAGATTGTGTGTTCCTTGCCTCTCAGATGCACTCTGACCTTTCAACTCTTAGGGCATACTTTTTGGGGAGACAGTGTGTCTGTTCTAAAATTTTCCCCCCACAATGAGGTTCCCAGACCCCACATGGGACATCTTGTTTAATGTTTATGGAATTAACTGGGTACAAGAAATAGGAGATAAGCTAGAGAAGTACGGAAACATCAAGGATATGTTTTTGCCATCCATGATGTGAAGGGGAGTCACAGCATAGAATAGTAGAAGTCAGATCTTTGCTTGGCCGCTGCGGGTATCCAGGACCGTAAATTGGCCTTTTTTTTTCATTTGGTGTCGTGAAGTGACTGTAGGTCTGCCTCATGTTATCTTGTAATCTGCTTCAAGGTCTGTTTCCCATTAATCTCTTTGTGTTAAATCTCAATGTCCTTGAACATTCCAGGGTCGTTGTCTATTTAAATCCATTTGATTTTGAGGCATGAATATCTTTTTCATTTATGAAATGAGGTTTTACGAAAGTGGGGTGTCATTCGCCCGCTTTACTCCCCAGCCAGCAGAGCAGGCTACCACACTGTCTGTTCTCTACTACTTGATCTGACTGGCTTGGCAAGCCCTGTTGGTAGCTGTGCTACAGCTGGCAGAACTCAATTTCATTGAGAAGCTGCACCTTGTCCATAACAGCAATCTTTACCTCAGAATCACTGAGAAGCTAAACCTTGTCCCCAGCATCCAGGTAGGGGGAACCTTCACAATCTCCACCTCATAGTCACTGAGAAGCTAAACCTTGTCCCCAGCATCCAGGTAGGGGAACCTTCACAATCTCCACCTCATAGTCACTGAGAAGCTAATCCTTGTTCCCAACATCCAGGTAGGGGAACCTTCACAATCTCCACCTCAGCGTCACTGAGAAGCTAAACTTTGTCCCCCAGCATCCAGGTAGGGGACCTTCACAATCTCCACCTCAGCGTCATTGAGAAGCTAAACCTTGTCCCCAGCATCCAGGTAGGGAGAACCTTCACAATCTACGCCTGGCCCCCAGACTTGAGGTTGCTTCACAACCGTCAGGAAGCCCCAGGTTAATCTTGGAGACTAATCATGCAGACTACAGTCCTGGAAGGATCAGACTGCAACATCAGCTAATAGTTGCTGTTGCTGGTCCACTGGTGGACTTTGGGTCATTATTTCTTTGTTATTTAGTTCAAATAATACTTAGATATTTGATAATGCTGCCTTGGTGAGATATGGTAAATTATTTTGCTAAATTTGTTCACAATTCTCCAGTAGAATTTGGCTATTCTTTCATCTGTCTGCAATTAAAAAAATGGTAAAGTACCTTTTTCCAGGTATATGATGCTAGGCTCTTACTTTTATAGACCAGTCGGTACTCAGTGGGCAACAACATCAATGCTGGCCTCCTTTACTTCCCCAGACACCACCTGGTACCTATTTCAGGTGAGAAGCATAGGATCTATTTCAGCATTATGTGAAATGAAGAAGCAGCAAAAGAATCCTGAGAAAATCTCACATCATATTTCTGTTTGAGTTCTGGGGCTGCCACAAGAATGGAAATGTTTGCGTTGGCACTTAAATTTTTTTTTTTTAACTGGCACAGTTTGTCGGCCCTAAATCCTCATGCTCATGACCTACAGTGCTGCAAAAAGTGGTATATGTAGGCAGTGAAGACTTATGTTTTCTTCACTTTATTTTTCTTTACTGTTTTTCTTAACTCTGTTTTATCTCTTCACATTTTCTCCACTTTACTTTTCTTTACTTTAAAAAAAAAAAACTGGGAAAGTTGGGAGATGTGAACCAGCATTATTGCACGCAGTGATAAAACATAGGGCTCTGCCACCAATATGGACAGCAAATAAGAAACTATCCGCCTGTGTTGCCATCCGCACGCAACTTCGTAGCTACAGTTCCTCCATTTACCGCACAGTGTTAACTCTGGTACCTATTTCCTGGATGCTGAATAAACTTCAGCGAGTGAAAGGCTTCAGCGAGTCGCAGCTGGATTTGAAAGCTCTTCATTTATTTTTTCTTGTGCTTTGTTTTTCTTTTCACTTTATCTGTTCCCCCCTCATTTTGTTTTCTCTTCTCTGTGTGTATGAATGTGTTAGAATGGAGTTGAAAAAAACAAAAACAAATCAGTGTCACTGTATTTATATGTCACTCGCCGCAGAACAAAAACAAATCAGTGTCACTGTATTTATTTGTCACTCGCCGCGGATCGGAAGGTCGTGGGTTGGCTCCCTGGAGGAGCAGGACTTGTTTCAAAAATGACCTAGGCTCCCAGGTCGACCCAGCCTTGAGTGGGTACCGGGTGCAGTCCCGGGTAGTAGAGGTGGCCGGCGTGATGCTGACCACATCACCCATCTTGTGCCGATTGGTCTATAAAAATATAGGTCTAGCCCTATATGCCCTATACGCCTGAAGGCGTTGAAAAGGGTCCTTTACTTTACTTACTTACTTATATTTATATGTTCATAGTGATTTTATTGTTGTTTTCACTTTTTGTCACATGGCAGTTTCAAGACCAGCATGCATGGTATCAGATGCAGCGAGAGTTTTACATGGAGAAGCAGCATCGGATGCAGCACATGGTGTCCATGCGAGGGCCTCACATGGACCCAGTCCCTCCACCCTCGTACTACTCGTCCGTCTCACAGAAACATAGCGGAATGAGCAGTCCTCCGTCGCCAGGCATGAACGGAATGAGGATGCCGATGCCCCCACATGGACTCATGGGGTCAGGAATGGATCCCGATGGGATGGGGATGTTTGGGGGTCCACCCGATATGTGCCGGCCGCCACACATGGGGATGGAACCCATGCCCGGAATGCATCCGTACCCGCCCCATATGCCACCTCAAGGTCCCATGGATCCTGGTTTTGATCCTATGATGGTAGGAGGGATCCCACCAGGAATGGGTCCTGGACCTCCGGATATGGTACCACGGCATCACGGTCCCATGCGCCAGAGCCACATGATGGGTTCGAATGGTGTCATGCCCAGTATGAAAGGCCCGAATCAGGTGACTTTACACAGGGCAGGCAATCCAGAACAGTTTAACCCTGAAACAATGGGAGGAGTGGTGCCCCCTTTACAAACTCAGTCTGGCTCTAGCAACAGCAGCAAACCACCTCCAAGCTATGCTCAGGCACAGAAGAGGAAGCGAGGCAGTGATATGGATGATTCTTACACTAAAGGCAACCTCCAGCAGACTCCGTCTCCCACCAAAATTCATTATCACCTCAGCCAGTTTGAAGGCCAGGAATTGACAATAACCAAACAGCTCAACACAGCATATGTTGCCAACGATGGAGGTGACGATTCGGGTGCTGCCAGTTCTGCTGGCAGCAGCAGCAGCAGCAACGGGGGCATGTCTGGTGGTTCTGCAGGGTTGTTCAACAGCCATGCCAGCTCCCCCTTGCATGGACCGGGTTCGAACAAAGGACCTCATTCAAACTCCAGCCAGACATCAGTCCACATGGTCAGTTCCCCAGCGGTGTCGACGACGGGGCCCTCTCCGCATCAAGGGCCTGCTACGCCTCACTCCACTACTCATTCGTCTTCAGTTCCTTCGTCAGGTGCTAACATGAGGCTGTCCCATTTTGACCCTGTTCCACTCAGCAATGGAATCGGCAGCGGCCCTCACACACCCACTCCCAAGCCATCTTCCATGTCAAATATCACGTCAGCCAGCCTAGCCAATCTGGCCAAAGGTGTCGAGAACTTATCCAATCAGATGCAGCAGAACATGATGCAAGGCGGACCCTTTCACAGTATACAAGTTCAAGGTCAAATGACAAGCAGTAACAGTAACTCTAATAATAGCAGTAATAATTCCAGCAGTGTTTCGTCTACTGCAGCTACAACAACGACAGCCTCTTTATCACCATCCACTAACTCTGCATCTCATCCAGTTACAACAGCGGGCTCACAGGCTTCAGGGTCACCTAATGTTAACAACGCATACATGGCAACAAACATGTCCGCGTCACAAGTGAACATGCCACTCCACCCTTCGGTGAACAACTATGTGAATATGCAAATGCAAAATATGAACAGCGAATCCACAAACATGAACCTGCAACCCTGCAGCATGCAGCACGGCATGAGCCCTCACATGGGCCCCGGGATGATTGGGGGAGGCCCCAGGTCAGGAATGCCCCACCACATGCCCCAGGGCCCAATGATGACGCCAGTGGGTCCGAATGGACCCAGCCCTGTGATGGGTCAAGGTCTTCCTATGCTATCAGGGCACATGCCGCCAGGATTGGCTCCTGGAGGATCCATGCCTCCACATCGACCCAGCTCTTCCTCCGGCATGCCAGCAACGCCCCCTACACTATCCAAAAGTCACTTCACCAGCCCACCTCTCTCGCATCCTTCAATGGGTGGTTTAGTCCCATTGCCCGACGTGACTTCTCCATCTTTCCCAGTCACCTCCAGCTCTAACTCCAGTGTACAGATACAGCAGAAGGGCCACAACACCATTCAGTACCTGCCTGCCAACCCACCGTCCTCGATGCCAACTGTGGCCAAGCAAAGATCTGACTTAGACTATAACATGCCTCGATTTCCTTCACCGCTTCACACCATTGATGGCAAAAATCCCATCCTCGACGCTTCAGTACTTCCCCAGCTCATCGCCCACTCCCAGCAGACCTCCTCATATGTCAAGCGCCCTGTCTGCCGCAGCTGCCATGGGGCCCGAGTTTGCAAACCAAGCCACTATTGCCATGCATCAGTCTGCATCCATGATGAGAAGCTCAAGTATACCTGATCTTCATGCCATGCAGGGCTCACTCTCCGGCATGCCGCCGTCATCGATGGGGCCTATGGGGCCAAGTCCTGGCATGCCCCCCTCATCGATGGGGCCTTTGGGGCCCAGCATGATGATGGGTGGTCCAGAGCCAATGATGGGGATGGGTCACATGCGGCCGGGTCACTCACCCGGGGCCCTACACCCCAGTTTGGGGCCGGGGAGCTTAGAATGTGTATCACCCATCCCAGGAATGGGGGGTTACATGAGTAATGGACCTTCCATAGAGCAAGCTCAAGCTCAGGCTCAAGCACATGCTGCCATGATGATGCAAGGCAACAGCCAGATGTCTGTCTCATCTCCTCATGGACCCATGCCGCCGTGCGGGGGCCCATCGCCTCACATGAACATGCCTCCCTGCGGAGGTCCCTCTCCACATTCAGCACCGATGATGGGAATGCCAGGGGGCTCCTTGCATGGGCCCATGCCCCCTGGAGGAATGCCAGGTTCATCTATCCACGGGCCCCCGATGCCTGGGCAGTCGCCCCATGGACATCCCATGTCTGGTCAGTCCCCACATGGGCATTCAATGCCAGTACAGTCTCCTCACGGATCTATGCCTTGTTCGATTCCGGGCAGTTCTCCTCACGGCCCAATGCCAGGCACGATCCCTGGACCTTCACTTCATGGACCTATGCCGGGCCCCCCAACTCACAGTTCAATGATGGGCCCTATGATCCCTCACGGGCACATGGGGCATATGCACGGGCCAGGAATGCCTTCGGGTGGCATGCCCAGACAGCCAGGGATGGGAGCCATGAGAATGGTCAGGCCCTCGATGGGAAGCATGTCTGGACAGTATGGCATGCAGTACCCGGGGTACCAGCAGGAATACTACCCCTCACTGTCCCCAAGAGGCCACCCTCGACAGATGATGCCTGGAATGATGGGTGGCCCGGTTCAACCATATGGCATGATGCCATAATATGAATAAGATCTCAATATAGGATTTTTTTCATTTCATGAAATTGATGGCGCTTTTTCTGCGTAGGAAATTTTTCTCCCGTAGAGTTGAAATGGAAGTTATCAGAAAACTACCACTTCAGGCCAGAGCAATTCATTTTGAGGAACAGGCCAGGGCAAGTCATTTCAAGAAAAGACTTTACACTCAAGCACCAGATATGTGGCCTTTCTATTTGTGTTATGCCTATGATTGTTTTTTTTTTTTTTTTTTTTTTTTCTGTTTCCAAGGAATCTTCTGGGTTTTTGTTTGTTTGTTTTTTCAGGAAATCTTCTGATTCTTCCAGGGAATCTTCTGGTTTCTCAAAAGAATCTTCTGGTTTTCCAGAGAATTTTCTGGTTTTCCAAAGGAATCTTCGGTTTTTATCTGAGGAAGCTTCTGGTTATACCTACAAATCATCTTTTTTTTTTTTTTATCTTTCTTTTTTTTCCCTAAAGAGTGTTCACTACACATCAAAGTTGTGGAAAAGCCTCTTTCACAGCTTACATTTTTCTGTTATGAGTTGTCAGTTTATTTTGATGCCTTATATGGCTAGCAGTCTTAACATTCTTTGAACAAGTCCCATTGTGTGTATATATTTATAGCCATCTGAAATCTATAGATCTCCTTTGTCAGGGTTCAAATGTGGAACCCCCGGGGAAAATTAACCCGGGCAACAAATGCCTGCAGAAGCCCAATATGGCGGCCAAAAGATGCAACTATCGCAGCCATCTTGTTAAAGGACACACAGCTTTTACAACTTTGGATGAATGCTGAAGAAAAAGAATATGAAACCCAAGTAATAAGAGTTTAGTGTGTTTATAAAGAATTTGATGTTAAAAATAGTTATTAAGCATTGAATATTAAGAATATTTTTAAAGGATTGTTTGTTGAGCATAGTTTTAAAGGATTGTATGTTGTGAATAGTTTTAAAGGATTGTATGTTGTGAATAGTTTTAAAGGATTGTATGTTGTGATAGTTTTAAAGGATTGTATGTTGTGAATAGTTTTAAAGGATTGTATGCTAAGCATGTTTTTAAAGGACTGTGTATTCAGAATAGTTTTAAAGGATTGTATGTTGAGTAAAGTTATAGATTATTATATTTTTATGCTGAGCTAATACATATTTGCTGTGTAGAGGCAGATCTAGAAGTGAACTCTGGTTGAGACTGACCTATGACCTAGAAGTGATTTCTAAGCTGAAAAGGTGACTTCTGAGCTACATGTCATTTCTAAGCTTTCTTCTGAGCTACATGCCATTTCTAAGCCAAAAGTCATTTTTAAGCTAGAGTGGTGACTTCTGAGCCATAAGTCATTTCTGAGCTAGAGAGGTGACTTCTGAGCTACATGTCATTTCTAAGCTTTCTTCAGAGCTACATGCCATTTCTAAGCCAAAAGTCATTTTTAAGCTAGAGTGGTGACTTCTGAGCCATAAGTCATTTCTGAGCTAGAGAGGTGACTTCTGAGCTACATGTCATTTCTAAACTAGAAAGGTGACAATTTCATGGTCCTTGAGTACTAGAGTTTGATCCCCATGGTGGACGGCTTTAACAAATCGCTCTCATGAATTCCTGACAACAGTACGAGAGTCGCTCTCTGGAAGAGATTGGGGCCTCATGATGTTATATTCCCAAAGAAAACACTGGCGCATACTGTGGTCAGCCAGTACAAAATCACTTAACTGTGGTATCTCCAAGACAAATCCACATATCTGATGGGTCAGTTTAAGCACTGACGCATGTGTGAACATAGGAATTGAGTGTCCTTTTTTTTTTTTTTTTTTTCAAATTCTGCCTCTGTTATTGCCACTGTAGCCAACCTTCATTGTGAAGACGTTACAGATATTCATTTATATCATCGAGAACAAAGCCTTTTCATGACTTGATAGCTACTACAGTAGCATGTATTAGTTTTGTTATTTCTGTAACTGTTTCTGGTAATATATACATGTGATGACAAATTCAAGCTGCATTTTGAAAGATTAAACATACAAATCCTAGGACACAACGTACATTTTTTTTCCTACTCACTGGCTGTAAACACCCAAATGATAGTCATGGTTGCAGGTTCACCTCTGAACTTTGTGTCAGGGCTTGAGCGTTGCGTACACATACATGTTACAATGCTGAGTTATTTGCCTGCAGGTGGCTGGTGGTTCGCCTCTGGACTTTGTGTCAGGGCTTGAGTGTTGCGTACACATACATGTTACGATGCTGAGTTATTTGCCTGCAGGTGGCTGGTGGTTCGCCTCTGGACTTTGTGTCAGGGCTTGAGTGTTGCGTACACATACATGTTACGATGCTGAGTTATTTGCCTGCAGGTGGCTGGTGGTTCGCCTCTGGACTTTGTGTCAGGGCTTGAGTGTTGCGTACACATACATGTTACGATGCTGAGTTATTTGCCTGCAGGTGGCTGGTGGTTCGCCTCTGGACTTTGTGTCAGGGCTTGAGTGTTGCGTACACATACGCAACACTCAGCTGAGTTATTTGCTTGCAGATGGCTCAGACAGATACGCTCTGACTTTAAAGTAAATGCCGATCCTGTCTGTTTTGGCCAGCGTCATGAACACGTGTAGATAGTTCTGGTGCACCATAACATGTGGTTCCGCAACTCTCGCAGTTCAGTATCCATCAGACGTTGTCCTCGTCTAGTCTTTCAGCTTCCACACATTACACTCTCCCATGTTTTCTGATGTTATGCAGTAAAAGCCATTTCAATAGTTGTTGACATTTCTCTGTCCAAGTAATATTTATTAGGACACAAACAGTAAGTAAAGTAAAGATCTGTTTCATGCCTTTTAGATGCATCAGGCATACAGGAAGAGCGTCCCACATTTTTACAGAACAATCGGCACTAGGTGGATAATGTGGTCAGCATTACGCCGGCCGTCTTTACTTCCCCAAGACTAACATCCTGGTACCCATTTTAGGCTGGGGCGACCTTCGATACCCCATACCACGATAAAAATCCATGCAGCCAGCCGAAGGTTTCCATCGCGGTGCGTTGGAGTTGCAAGTCTGACTCGCAACGCGAAAGCCATGGGCCCTGCTGACACAAACAGTACATTTCACAATTGATTGCCTGACATATTTCGCTGTATCTCATCAAATGCATTACTACAGAGTTGAATCAACACAATGAAGCACAAAATGAATACACTTCTTGCTGTAGTGCATAAATCACATTGTCGCATTGCTGTACATCACAGCTAAATATGCCAGGCAATAAATTGTGCAATGTATCGTTTGTGTCCACATTATTGAAATTTACAATGGGAAAACACTATTTTTAACTTTTCTGTCTTTCCGGACACATGATGCATATGGCATATTGGGCAGACAGTGCTGTGCCTACATTTTGTAGATCATTCGTCGTTCACTTGGTCGTGGGGTTAACATCACACCAACCACCTTTACTTTCCAGGACTTTACCTGGTACCCATTTAAGGCTCGGTTTATCTGGAAACCAGGGTCGATTTTATTTTCTCTAAATTCTGGCGGCTCAGTTAAGACTTGACCCCTCAAATCCGCAGGTTAGGCTCACACATCGTAAAAAGATATCAAACTAAACAAAAGTAGAATCAGTCAGCTTAAAATGATCACAAACGGCAAGTGAACGTTGCAGTTACAAAGCCTTCATCAGCATATTACATAAACAGACAGTGTTACAGTTGCAGAAAGAGTATACAAAGTCACTTCATGGAGGTATCTCTAAGAGACTGGTCAGTTTAAGTGCTGACACAGGTGTGAACACAGGAAAAGATTACTAGCCAGAAAAGCGGTGGCCGGCAAGGGCTGTAAATTATAAACAGTCGTATTGCATTGTGTCCTAGGGAGACAAAGGAATCATAGCCCATAGTTCAGATTATATTTTGTTTGTACTATTTAAATTTTGTAGAGTATTGATGTTGGGCCGCCCACCCCACACGAAGACTAAAATTGTTTTCTCCCCTTTTTTTTTCTCCTTCCTCTAGTTTCTTATGGGAGCCGCCCTGGTCTAGTGGCTAGACACTCGGCTGTGGTTTGGAAGGTCGTTGGTTCGGGTTCTGACAGTGCCGGACTTTTTTTTTTTTCTTATTCAAATAATTACGTTGGCTTCCCGGTCGAACCAGCATTGAGTCGGTACCAGGTACAGTCCTAGGAAGTAAAGGCAGCCGATGTGATGCTGACAACATCACCCACCAAATGCCGTTTGGTCTATACATTATAGGTCAAGCCCTATATACCCAATTCGCCTGAAGGTGTGAAAAAGGGGCCCTTTACTTCCCTAGTTTCTTTTGGTAGATTCAGAGAATTATGGCAACACATTTTTTGAAATAAAATGGTTAAGATTTATTGGGGGAGGGCAAAAGGGTTTGCAAGCGTGCAGAAGCTTCACAGTTGTGAGTAAGGTATGCTACCCTGTGGGCTGGTATATGGGTCCCTTTGAGGCATGATAAAGCTTTGAAGAGAGGCAGGATTTCATGTTTTGCCAGGAAAAAAGTTTATATTTGCTTCTTTGTGTTCACCAGCAGTGAACTGTGGCAAAAATTCTGGTTTGCTGGCCCACTTCTAGACTTGAGTCTAGTTCCAGAACTTGAGTTCTGTGTGCACGACAGGCATGTTTGTGTGCAGGCTGCTGGTTCAGTGCCTCTCAGGTAGATGTACTGTGACAGATGGTCCTTAAAATAGATCAAGAACAGACAGTTAAGAGCTTTATTGGCATACAAATGTCTAAAAATGACTATGGAAGTGACTAGAAAAGTTACAATTATGAATAAACATGTATTGTTATGTGGCTTTGGGGGGGGGGGGGGGGGGGGGGGGGGGGGGGGGGGGGGGCGGGGGGGGGGGGGGGAATAGACCTGTCTCTCTACCAAGCATGTCCTAAAAGTAGACTAGTTTACTTCTAATTCAGAGTTCATCTGCCTGAGAGATGAAGACCCATCAGTCTGCATATAAAAAGCCAGATCTGTCAATTGGGTATGCATGAAAAAACTCAAGTTC